CTCAGTAGGTCGCGACACGACCCCGGACTGAGTCCAATTTTCCATTTGAAACTTGCGGTATCCACTAACCTACCTACCCCCGTCCTATGAGGTAATAAATAAAGTTAAATGTCCTTACCCCATTCTTTTTACTATTTAGGGGATTTATACAGTTCAAAGAGGAGGAGGTAAGCTGGGTAGGTGTGTTGAGCCACCCTAGCTCTTTCCAGAAGCACAGAAGCCTTCTGAAGAGTTTACAGACTTCTTTGAGCGATCTTGTATAAGGAAGGATACTTGCCCGCTATAAATGAACAGGAGAGGGAGTTTCCTCTTTGCCATTACTATATAATTATGTACAATATATATATATATATATATATTACGTCGTAATTATGTCTAGTCGAGCAGGTATAAATCTGAAACCTGAACAAAGGCTAGGCTAAGCTATAATTGAACTTTATAACTAATTGAAGCGTGAAGTGAACCGATGCGGACAAATAAAATCCTTGATCTTGTAACTAGCTCGACCTAGATAATAACGCAGATAGAAAATTAAAAAACAACATGAATTTGAGGGTAATTATTGGCTAGAAATCGTTTTTTTTTGCTTATATCGATCTTAATTACTGTGTTTCTTTTGTACGTACAGGATGAATATAGACGAGTCACTAGATGGTAAGTAAAAGGCGTCGCCTATGGACATTAACAACTTTAAGAACCCAAATGTGTAGTCACTCTTTGATTCCTTCCCCCACAGTATAAGGGAGGATGTTTGAGATTTTCTTAACATGGGTTAATCGTGTTAGTAAGTAAAAACAAATCGGTCATCTGTGAAGCTGCAGTATCACTCCAGTCAAGCCAGGAGTGTGGGGAGGTTTGAGATTTTCTTAACATCCGTTTTCTGAGAAGATACAGTATCACTCCAGTCAAGCCAGCCCATTTGTGACGAAGCATGCCTCTGCCAGGGTATAAACAAAACACAGCACAGCACACCCACAAATTAGATTTATAATAATATTATAACCAGACACATCCCACACACCGCCATCTGATCTAATACTATACAGAGCCTGTACTATGGTAACCAGACTGCTGATAAACATACTTATATATTTTTAAATACATACATATTATAGATAAATTACACCCAGACACAGAACAAATGATCGTGCTCATCACACAATATTTTGTCCTGGGTGGGAATCGAACCCACGACCTCCGGCTTAGCAGTCAGGGTTACTAACCACTAGACCAACAGGCCAGTCAAAAAGTTACTATTTGTCCTCAGTGGGAATTGAACATACAAACTTTTAGGCTGGTATATTGATCCACCATTATGACTTGATTGGAAGCACCACAGTTTAAAAAAGGATGCAGTTGTGTGGCTTTGGCATGGGCCTCAATCCTTCCGTATAACCAATATCCTTTACATTGCCTTGTCTTCAAACCAATTTTCTATTTAAATATATATATCACGTCACATTAACAGCTTTAAATAGCCTCTCGTTAGAAACGAGGTTTTGGCCTATTGTACACGCTGGCCAGATGGGTTGGTATATTTATTTTAAAGTTTCCTTTCTCTTTGCAGTGCTGTTGTCCTGTCTTAGTCGGCTCTTACGACATCCATAGGATGAATAGGGGTGGTGACATTTCGTATTCTTAATCCCTCACCACACGGGTAGTTAGCAACCGAGGAATGCTTAACACCAGTTTTCTGTCAGGCAGTGATATCAGTCTGGTTAGCTTGACTCTCCTAACATAAAACAATGAGGTTTACTACATCCCTGCCTGCCCCACAAGAATATAGAGTATTTGTAAGTACTTACATATACTATAATTACAATAGCAAAAAAATTGAGTGTGAAATAGTTAAAATGGTGTGGTGGGAGTAGGACCACAGACTAAAGAGTTAAATATATAAAATACTTTTTGGAATTAACATGTTAAAAAGAAACGTTACACTTAGATACAAGTTTGGTACATGGAATTATAGGAATCTCTTACAGTCAACGGTAGATGTAGTGTCACTGTGCCAATGATGAGACGGTGACAATTAATCAACATACATGGGAATGAACTCAACGATTGAACTGCCTGACATTGTGACATGGTTAGGGTCATATTCAGCCCACAAACTTAATTAAATACTATTTTATGATTATGTTCACTGTGGATAATTTTACGTTTTTTTTCTGATGAAACATGGTATAAGCAACACTGAAGATACAAAAAGGTTTTTATATCTCTTTTAATTATAAGAATTTCAAACTACAACAGAAAAACCATCTTTGTTTATAATATAACACTTTTTACCACTTTTTAGTGTATTTTCATTGACTATCTGTATTTACATACAGTTTTATAATAATTTAATAATTATATTAATTTAACCTTTTATAATAATTTTATAATTCATTAAAAAATACTTGCATTTATGATCTTAAATAATGGGAAATTATTGAAATGCATTCTATATGCACACTATAAATAAATATAGATAAATATATATATATATAATTTATAGCACCTTATAAATTTAGAGCAATTCAATTCAATAGACACTCTGTGTCATCCCTATGCCTGATTATAAATGTTATTGTAATAGGTATAATGATTCAGATAAGAATAAAAAGTCTTTGTTTTTGTAATACATATTTTTACTATCAACCAGACATAAATATATTTACGATAAAAAAAAAAATGTTTTTCTCTCTAATGTCTATGCAGGTATTTGGCAAAGGTCACTGAAGAATTCATCCTTAAAATTTATTGCGCCAAAAGTACGTGTCGATTTTTTTCAAGTTTTCTGAGTAGCATCTTATTGGACTAGTTTTCTTTGTTAGTTCTGATATATTCATAGGGAAACAAAAAAGGTAAGCTACCTTGAATTTATTACTTCATGGCCAATAGACTACTACTACTTTTAAAATTTAAGTGAAATTTAAAAATAATATCGAATGTGGTAGCAAAACAATTTTTGCGCTCACTGTGATTGGTTACGAAAGATTTTTAAAGGTAATTATCGATTAAATACAACAATATTTATAGCGAAAACTGAATATGAGTGGAGCGAAATTTATGCGCAGACATCCGTAGATCGCATCCGAAACGTGATTCACAACAGTTTTACATAGAAAACTGGAAAAGAACCCGAATATAATAACTAAAATTAATAAGACCTAGCGCTAGAAAGGAATGGATATGGTTATCCGTCCGCTTTGAAAAGATTGCGACGTACAGCAGTCGTCGCATTGTTACGTCACTTTCACACGCGGCCGGATAATAGGCAAGAGGGACAGGGAAAAGCTTCGGCAATCCCACCCACTTATAATCGATTTTTATTTAACTGAAGACATATTTTCTTCGATATAAACACTCATTTACAAATATAACACGATATCTCTTTTATAAAGATCATCTAAAAGTATTCTAGTGTTAAAAAACACAAATACTCACCGTGAAAATTTTCACAAGTCGTCCAGTCTGACAAGGAACAAATTTAGATACGTTCGAAATTCACACAATAAACACTGTAAACGTGAAGCTTTACGCTGAATATAATTTATATATTTTTTTTCAAAGCTCGGGTGTCGTCCTTCATCGAAAGTCGCGACATATTTTTTACGTTTTCCAGTAATTTTTAACTGGGGACTAACATCGATCGTGAAGCCATGACAGATACATTTTCAACTAAATGAAGTTGCATGCGGTCGCTCAGCTGACGGACGAGTTTTTTTCTAGTCAAAGCAGTGAAGTGAGCCGCTCTTGGACCACGGAGGTTACTGACCTGTTATGCAGTGTATATAATTAGGGTACTGCAAAATGCAAGTTTTGCAGTTGACATTCATGTTTTGAGAATCAAACTGACAGAAAATATTTTTATTAACAATTGACAACTACATAAATATACTTATTCATTTTTTTTACGTTCAATATAATTACCTCGTAAAGAGCCATAGAAACCTTTCTCGCCACTGTAAACATTAACAATTCATATTTGTTTTTATGCCTATAATTTATATCTTGCGTATAGGTAAATACTAAGTATATTCTATATAATATATTGTTTCATCTATGGGTAAGTACCATCAAGTAGGTAATAATCCTTATACGTGTGTTTATGTTTCCAAAAATTAATATAAGTACTATTCTGGTTCTGTCTGTATCTCATTGTGGAGTCTAAATTAGTACTTAACTTACTTTATTAATTTAAAGAATTGGGCAAACAAACAAGTCACGTCAGTCAACAAAGAACGTTAATAAGTTACAAGAAGTTCACTAACCACTCGGTAGATGACGCTAGTATGTTGCACACGCAATATATGTTACCCACTCGATTACGTTATTATCTCATAGCTTGTCTGAGCCCATTAACCTTAAACGCACTTTAAACTTTTGACAAGCCTTTTGGTCTAGAGGTTAGTGACTGACTGCTAAGCCGGAGGTCGTGAGTTCCACTCCCATCCAGGACTAATAATTTTGTGATGAGCACGATCCTTTGTTCTGTGTCTGGATGTAATTTATGTATACAAATAAATGAAATTGAAGTGTCTGTTTGCAATGTTAAAATAATAGATTTTTTCATGCTCACACGGTTATTTGCACGGTACCTATGCCAAAAACCAGTTTAAATATTTTTTTGTCAGTCTGTCTGTTTGTTCCGGGTAATCTTCAAAACGGGTGGACCGATTTTGATAATATTTTACCAGGTACCTATGAAATGACTAAGGCTATTTTTCCTATCAGAAAAACCCTATAAAATTTTGCCCGGTCCGGGAATCGAACCCGAGGCCTCGCGACTGCAGTCGCGTATCATATAACACCACTAAGGCAGCGCTTTTCAAATTGCACGAGACGAACTCGCGGGTACCAACTAGTCTATAATAAGTATGTATTTAGAAATATCTAAGTATGTTCATCAGTAGTCTGGTTACTAGTACAGGCGCTGTCTAGTTTGGGACCAGACGGCTGTGTATGAGGTGTGTAAGGTTATTATTTATTTATTGAAACAGAATACTTACCATGTTATAGCATGAGGCCAGTCTAGCTGCACTCTATGGGGCGCCACTAGCGACATCTTGAATTCGTTTCCGTCAGCCACTCTCTCCACGTTTTCAGCTCACATTAACAACTCTTTTTATCGGACGCCATTTTAAATATAACAATATTATTAAGATTGCTATATTCGTGTGATCGAATTAATACATCGGTGGAAGTGTCGTACGGGTCGTACCTGTAACAAAATAAAATACTTTTTTAATCATAGTAACACTCAATGGCCGATTTACAATTTGAGTCATTGTTATAAGTGTGTAGGCAATAATTTACAAAACATTTCAGACTTATAGCGAGCCTGACTGCTCAGCCAAAGGTCGTAGGTTATATTTTCACCCAGGACAAATATTATGTTATGGACACGATCATTTGTTCTGTGTCTGAGTATAATTTATCTATAATATGTATATATCTATACTAATATTATAAAGCTGAAGAGTTTGTTTGTTTGTTTGTTTGAACGCGCTAATCTCAGGAACTACTGGTCCGATTTGAAAAATTCTTTCAGTGTTAGATAGCCCATTTATCGAGGAAGGCTGTAGGCTATATATCATCACGCTAAGACCAATAGGAGCGGAGCACCAATGAATAATGTTTCAAAAACGGAGAAAATTTATTACTATTCAGAGACGCAGACGAAGTTGCGCGGGTCAGCTAGTTTAGAAATACATAAGTAGGTTTATCAGTATTCTGATTATCATAGGTTAGGCACTGCCTAGTTTGGGATCAGACAGCAGCCGAGTGTGTAATATGTGAAGTCATTATTAAAATTAAAAGAAAATAAAACTATTTCTAGCCGTTTTGACAAACCGATTTGCTGGTTTTCTCCGACTGCGACAGAAAGAGGGTTATGTTTTTCGAGTGTTTATACATTTGTATTCTTGTATATGTCTTTGGCAAGCTATATAGCCTAAAAATAAATAAATAATAAAAATAAAACTTAAATTCGCAACATCGTTGCTATTGACAGGCATTCGCAAATAGACTCCAAATGTTAAATTAACACAAATCAGGTACAGAACCCCTGTGGGGCAGTACTTATTTCTCTACAAACACGGACTCTGGTTTTGAAGTGTAACATCTTCCCTCTCGCTTTACTGCAATCTGTGCGAGTGGTTTCGTGAAAATAGACGGAAATGTGTAACAGGAAGTCAGTAAAGCGCGCGCTATTTGATTTGATCAATGTACACGCGCGGTGTTAGAGTTGTCAATCATTATGGTTAGTGAGATATGCGATTTCTTTAGAGCTGACTTACTTTGACGTTCAAAAGTAATTCAAATCGAAATTGTATAAAAAATGTAATATTCGAGCACCTTGCTTCCGATGCGAGTCGAAGATTAAAAATTTCTGCTTTTTGTCCCAAGATGGCCGACACAGACTAATGAAAAGCAGGAATTGTGGGGAGTGGATAGTGGCATACGCTAACTCAGTAACAATTCAAGGGCTACAACCTATCAGTACCTAATTTGATTTAAGTTGATGTAAAATGATCTCACAGAACTTTATAATTTATCATGTAACGTAGAAATGTTTAGGATATTTGATTTTTCATCATCGTCTACGCTATAAATAGATCTACAGATGCATAATCTTAGGTGTATATCCATTTCCCGCTCAAGGACATACCCTCAAAATCACACTTCAAATCCATCAAATTATTTGGGACAAAACATATGTCTGAGACGCTTGTAAATATTTCTTGCGTCCAGCAGGTGACTCCTACGCGAAACAGAAATACACACGACTACAAATAAAACAACGACAAAATGGCGAACTGTCAAATGATTTTAGCGGGAATTGTTTCGTATGTAACAGTTTTATTCTCCGAGAATAGACAAAACGATTAAAACGTTAAATAAAATCTGTTTTTAATGATTACTATGAATAGAGAAATATAGGTGTGTAGTTACTTGGGCACGCCGTTATCGCGGCGGTAAGACCCGTTATGGAGGATTGGCTCGAGAGGCATCACGGGACCCTCTCATACAGGTTGACGCAGGTGATCACTGGAAAAGGATGCTTCGGGGATCATCTGTGTCTGATTCGCAAGGAGCCTGGGTGGGCCGGACGTGGGCACGGCGCTCCACACGCTATCAGAATGCACGGCGTGGGTGGAGCAGAGGCGTGACCTCGTGGCGGCTATCGGGGTGGGAGATCTGAGCGGAGCGAGAGTACGTGGAACTCCGCCGTCTCCTTCTGCGAGCAGGTTATGCTTGCGAAGGCGATGGCGGAGCGAGACCGGGAGAGGTTCAAAACCCTCCCGGCTCGCCAGGCTCGAGAACGGGCCACGTACCGCAGACGGCTCGGACGCCGGAGGTTGTAGAGCGACCTCGGTTCTCCATAAGTGCAGGCCTGAGGGTGACAGGTGAGGCCAGCAGAATCAGGCCGGGGTGGGTAATGGCACGACGCGCCTTCCGTCAGGAAGGGAACATCCGGGTTCCCACACAGGAGGGGTCATCTATAAGCCGTAGTTCTAGTTAATACAATGAAATACGCTTGAAATTTTACCAAATAAATTCCTGTTTAGATATAATAAATATGTAGGTACCTATCTAATGATGTTTTTGTATAAGTATAAATCATTGTACCTATCTATCTATATGTGGACAGTTTTTTCTTTTTATGAGAAGACGGCACACCTGATGGTAAATAAGTGAGTACCTACTGGCACCCCTGGATCCCAGAAGAACCTCTCCTCCCTCTCCAAATTTAAGGAAGAGCGAGCGATTTCTTTCTCCAGGAACTTCACTCACTCGGTGTAAAGTAGATTAAGATATGATATAAATATATGTCTCTGTGGTGACGGAATAAGCATACGGAGTGTCACCATCCCTATTCATCCCGTGGGTGTCGTAAGAGCCGATAATTACGCAGAACAACAGCACTGCAGAGAGAAGGAAAAACTTGACACAAACCCTATACCGACCCGTCTGGCCAGCGTGGTAAAGTAGGCCAAAACCTCCTTTCTAAGGAGAGGTTTATGTCCAGCAGTGGATTATTAAAGGCTGTTGATGATGATAAATATAATGAGTTAAGTACGGTGTGTAGGTTGGGGGTATAAATTAAATGAAAGAGATAGCGCCTGTAAGCTGACTGCAGTACATTACATACGTGTAGCGGCGGATTGCTGTGGTGCCGATAAAAGTTTCTTAAAGATTTAGTAGATTCGTCCGTCCGAGATGTGAAATGGGTCACCTGGTGGTAAGCGACTAACCCCGGTCATAGATACCCTTAACTCAAGAGTCACAAGAGCGTTGCTGCCCCTTGAGCCCCCCCCCCCCTGCCCCTCCCAGAATCCAGAGCGGGGGTTTGAGCTCCGGTTTCTAAGGTAAAAGAGGCACAAAGCTTATGACAGGCGTTCTATTATCTCTACCTACATCTAACGAAATGAGTCATGAATATACATGTTTTAAACTAATATTGTCCGTGTGGTGACGTCTTAAGGATACGAAGTGTTGGTGACACTCACCAAAACTTCGTATCCTTAAGACACCCTTATTCATCCCGTGGGTGTCGTAAGAGCCGACTAAGGGAGGAAACTACGCCAGACAACACTGTTTAGAGTAGGAAAACTTGAAACAAACCCTACACCAACTCATCTGACCAGCGTGGTATGGGCAAACCTGGAAGTACATGGAATCCTAACGTTAACAGAAGGGAACTGAGTTACGTGATAGAAAGATGTAGCTTCACTCTCCATTCTCTATTACATATATCATGGAGAATGCTCGGAGGAATTGTTCGGACTAATACCTGCCGCAATTTCCGCCATCGTTCCACACGGCAAAATTTTGCCTACATGGTAATGAGGATGAAAATTTTGTTGTTCTTGGCGCTCCACTACTGTGCGAGACACTTTTTGATTCTGACTGATTCTGACCTGTCTGTGGAACGGGTTATCGTCTGCGGTATTTCGGGACCGATACGACCTTTAAACTTTCAAGAAAAGAGCGTACTCCTTTCTAAAAGCCAGCTACGCGTTTGTGACTCCTGAGTTGCAGACGTTTATGGGCGGCGATGGTCACTTTCCATCAGGTGACCCGTCTGCTCGTCTGCCCCCTCTAACGTAAAAACAAAAAAAAAAGAGATCAAAAGCAAAATCTAGGAGAATGCAACTAAAGGTAATTACGCAAGGTAGAAAACACTCTATTGTTTAGCAGCAAGAGTAGCTATTTAATTAAACTATGGGCTTCCTTCCTAGATGGAACATCGTGTGAATTTAGTCGATTCGATCCCGAGATGAGCACAGATAAGATGATGACCCGTGGGAGTTTCCACACGATAAAACAGACTTAGTTGGAGTCCGTTGAAGTCAGAATGTGGACTGTTAGTTAAGTATAAGGTAACACTTCTTATTTCTTAACTTCCTCCGTTCTGCTCCTCCCTTACCTACTCTAATCTTTGTTTATATCATTTTGTTAAGATGATCCTGCCGTCACTGCTTACTTTTGTGAAGATATTCTACATACAACTACTGATCCTGGATCGTGCAACAAAAGTTTTCTCGCCGGTAAGCATATACGAGTATAGAACTTCCAAACATACCCACCTCCTCCTCGCTTTGTACTGAAGTATAATAACGCCCGTTCTTTCGTTTTATGAAAAAAGATTCATTCTTTGACTCCTTAATAGAACTGTCGAGGAACGGGTCATTTCATGTCCCTCCAACACAAAGGGAGGATCCTCCGTCCAGGCGAGGTGATCATGCCTGGCGGGCCGTGGCTCCTACGGTTGATGTTGGAAAGTTGTATATATGCTAATCAGCGAGGGAATTCTTTATATCGCGATACAGGATTAGCAATTCTCATTGAGTAGTTACTCCATAGTTCGATGTGTCTTCGTTAGATGGGGCTGTAGTATGTTTCTGTTTCTTTGTATGTGGGAATCGCCACAGAACAATGTCCTATGACCCTGTCCTGTAATCTGGAGGATGTTCTGTATGTTTTGTAAATGTAAATGTCTGTGTATAAGCTTAGATGAAGCTGTCCCTTACCATGTCGTGGTAACTTGTAAGTAAAAAAACACTCAGCATACTATTAGTAAATTAGTAAACTATGTATTGGTGTATGTTTTGTACATTGTCCTAACTAAATACGAATAAACAAGAAAAATCAAAAAAGAAAATCAAACCATTTAATCTCTGAGTACTTAACTTATACATCCATAATTAAAATCCTAGTTATATATATTTATGCTCATAGACGTGTATAAGCATACCTATTTCCAAGACAAGAAACTAATGATTTAAGAATTACTTTTGTTATTGATTCAAAACGATGACAATACTTTGAGTACCATTCTATAAACTAATTTCGCCACATCTTTGGCAATTACAAAATCTATATGATTAAACTCCTTGTTTTGTATTTTATAAATATCTATCACATTCTTCAGTTTACTTCTTAGGATCTCAACATCGACAGGATCTGCCAACCAATCAGATTCGGCACAGAACATCCAAATCGGAGTTTTGATATTTTCCAAATTGTAACTAGGAGCTAACATTGTGCCATATCTCTCGGAATTCTCCATGCTGCCGTAGTCAAAATGGCGAAAATCTTCATTTATCAAACCCTGGCCGTAATGGACTAGCTGCTTCATAGATGCCCCAGAAGGCATGTGTGAAAAAATCACCGGCAAATTGCTTATATTAAACTGCGCAAAATCAAAACCATACGACAGGAACATCAAATTACCACAAATAATATTCGCCAGCATACCTGAACCACAGATCAGCTTCTTCAACAATCTGGTCAGCTTTCCATCAGGTAAAAACTCGTTTTGACCAGCACTCTTTGACACTGCCTGTAAAAGCGAAGTTCCAGGTGCCATAAGACGGATCATTGGCGAACGGACTTTGGTCATAAACGCCACAGGCGATAACGCCGCCATCAGAGACACTTTCTTATTGTATTCCGGTTTTTCGGATGCCATCACGAAAAATGCTGTCGTACCTTGGGAATGTCCAACATACTTCAAAGAGGTTTTATTTGTATTTTCCAGGATATAGTCTATCATCGTTGGAAGGTCATAAACACCAATTTCATGCCAAGAGAAGTCCCAAAACGCTGCATCAGATGGAGAAAGACTAATATGTGCTCGGGACACTTTGTTTCCGCGAGCGTTACCCAGCCATACATCGTAATCCTGTTGTGCTAGTAAATAAGCAAGTCCATCTTCAGGGCCAGCTATGATGAAGTCATCAGCACTGCCGAGTAATCCGTGCATTAGGAACACAGGATCTCTAGAACCAAGCAACCGGTACAACGACAACACGTAGCCATCTTTAGTTATTACTTCATGCAGTTCGTAATCACGACCATATTTGGTGACGAGTTGTTCAAAGTTAAAGTGCACGTCTTCATTTTTCAATCCACTGTTGTAGGTAGCGAGGAACTCGTCAGCAACCTGCGCGTTACTCAGATGGTTGGTGTAAGATGGCAGTTCTAATGAACCGAGGATGCTGGCCAGTTTGGCAGGAGGTTTGGTTACAGTGAGTCGTGAAACTGTCAGAGCATTTGATTGTGTTGTTGAAGCTTTAACCACGTGTGGAGTCTTTGCGAGTTCATGTTCCAAGTCTGCTGTAGTTTCTAAGAATGATGGAAACAAATTCGATAGTATTTGTCCATTACAGCATTCCAGCAAAACGTAAGTGAGAAGGATCTTTGGGATCATCACGCACGTTTGTGTTCGATGAGAAATCAGCGGCGACTGAACGGAGAGGATCGTGAGAATTAACAATTATGTTCTGAGTTATTATTTTAGACTTATAACTATAGTAGTTGCGTCATTCTAATTCTCTATTATTACTCGTATAATAGCATTATTATAGATTTGAATGAGTATAGATGATTGCCGTTCACACAGTTTCAACCTTGTGAATGGCTTCTGCTACGGTTTTATGTGTCATAGTGTGGTGTTCAATACCCTTTCTTCTGAATCGAATTTCTTAAAAAGAAAAATGTTCTATGACCGATAGCTCCAGGGATTACCGCCTTTAACCAATAAATATACTTAATGTAGTATTAGACATTGTTCATTAAAGGTTAACAGGTTTGCCAACTATTGTTTGCAGGTGTCTGAAGTTGTTTACTTCACATGACTGCCAGTATTCCTAAAGACAGATTGGAGAGTCAGAAGAATAGATGCAGCGATAAATTGAAGTCTGCGTTATAAACACTTATAAAGTCACTTGCAAGAGAGTTTGGATGTTTTGGCAAAAGAGAGTTCGAGATACAGGTATGCGTCTCTGATCTTCTCTATGGCTCACGCTTCCCTAGTCATCAGTCGTCAGTGACAGATATCATTTTACTGCCGTTACCTATCTTTTTACCTAATTTTTCCTTTCAATGCTCCCCTAATTGTGATAATTGTGTAAAATAAAATTGAAGTCTGTTTGTAATGTCAAAATAATAGGTTCTTTTCATGCTCACACGGTTATTTGCACGATACTTATACCTAAAAACCAGTATAAATATTTTTTATTTGTCTGTCTGTCTGTTTGTTCCGGGTAATCTTCAAAACGGCTGGACCGATTTTGATAATATTTTACTACCAAGTAGCTGTCTATAGGAGTAACTTAGGCTATTTTTTCTCTCAGAAAAACCCTATAAAATGTTGCCTGGCCCGAGAATCGGACTCACTAAGGCAGCGCTTTTCAAATTAAACGCGAACGAAGTCGCAGGCACCAGCTAGTGTTTAATGTATCTCTAATACATAATGTCTTTAATACATCTACATATATATAAAAGTTAAGTCGGTTTGTGTACGCTTCAAAAACTTGAAAAGTTCTGCACTCATTGAGCTCAAATTTTTATACAAACCTAAAGTTTCTTCTTTTATATGAAAATTGCCATCGTGTTAGACTCATAGATCAATACTGATTAGACTAGAGTCATAGATCAAGACACACAATAGCAACAATATGTTTTGTCAAATGTTTAGTAAAAGATAGTATATCCATTTTATCAGATCACACACATCAACGGACTTTAAGAGTCCAATGCTGGACATAGGCCTCTCTTTAGAAGGAGTTTTTGTTTTTTTTTTTTGGTTTAATCGATTATATATCTGTGCCGAACTACAACCGCCTGTTTCCAAGGGGTTGTGCGTCATGAGAAAAGAGCGTACTCCTTCCTAAAAGGCCGGTAACGCGTTTGTGACTCCTGAGTTGCAGACGTTCATGGGCGGCGATGGTCACTTTCCATCAGGTGACTCGGCCGCTTGTCTGCCCCCCCTAACATAAAAAAAAGTAAAATGGTGATACAATGGCGAGACGACACTTTAGTGTTACCATATATTTAGAATTAATGAAAATAAAGACCCCTAGCAATGATTCGGATAATAAAAGAATCAAAACCGGTATGCTCAACGGATTCACTGAATCTCTTCTCACTTACTTTTTTAGATCATTGAATTAGAAAATGAAAAAAATGAGTGCTGTGAGTCACTTATGATGTGTTAATATAAACACTCAATTCCCTCGCACACCAACATATTAAGTTTTTTTTAAATAATTGTTGCGACACTCCGTCTAGACACGTAAATAATCAAATCAGAATCAAAAAAGAAAATGATAGTATATTTTAATCTGCGCGTATCTCAAAATATAACACGGAAAGCGAATTAAAAACATAACAAAACAATAATTTCTTGATGACATATATATTTGTCATATCATCTTTGACAAAGATCAAATGAATCGCAGAATTCTAAAAATTGCAGAAATGACAAATGGCCGTATGACAAAATGGCCGAACTTTAAGTGCTTTTTTTCTGAGAATAACTTTAAAGGGGTCGCTCAACTGTGAAACAAATAAACTTGGAAAATAAAATTTGTATGATAAAGTGAGTAAAAAATGTTTTCGCGGTATTGAAAATAATTGACTTGCTGTACCGTTTATTTAATTGTTCGCGTGATGACGGGTTTAGAATACGGAGTGTCACCACCCCTATTCATCCCGTAGGTGTCCAACCGACTGAGGTAGCAAACTACGCAGGACAATAGCCCGGAGCCCGTCTGGCCAGCGTGGTATAGTAGGCCAAAATCTTCTTTCTGAGGAGAGGCCTATGTCCGTCAATGGACTATTAAAGGCTGGTGATAATTATGATGATGATGATTATTTCATAAATAATCCATTGACATATTTAAGCATTTGGAATGGGGCTCATTACATTTCTATGATCGGCATAATTTCAACAATTGTTATGAAAAAAAATGGTTATAGGGGTCGGACTTTTCAACAACAGCCAGTAGGAGTTACGGGTATGTGACCCTGAGGCCATTGCTCACACACCAACCCTGCGTATAAGCTAAATATCTGTATCTATTCCCACCCCTTAACTTTCGTAATAGTCCCAATAGTGCCGTCGTTGTTTTAGAGTACCTGATTTAAGGCAATACGCTTGCTCCATGTAGGACTAAAATAATAGTTGGAAAAAGGGGGTTTAATAAGCCCCACTCTACTCCTTACAGGGATATGGACGTGATTGTGTGTACGTAAGTCTTGAGAATTCTTGTCAATATTTATTACGCATGTCGACCGTCATCTCTCGTTAATAAGTAAGTAAAACTCGTACTACGATACTCGTATACTACGGTGACAATGAACTTTGGGCAATCAATACAAAACAAATATATATTTAAGGATCTATAGCATTTTCTGTCAATAGACAATACCATATTTTGATAAGCTGTTGTACAACAGTCATTCAGAACGGTTTAGCGCGCACAATGCTCGAAAAACACATAAACAAACTGTTTTTATTTAAATAGCTATCATAGATCAGTCTATCTACAGTCATCGATAGTGGTACCCGTCTGAAATGGTTCAGAAGCTGCTTCTCATTTACGTACTACTTAAATACAGTATTGGACAAGTTTCCTTAGATTTTTACCCCGCAGTAAATCAAGTGACACCTAAAATAAAGGATGAAACTAAAAACCTAACTGGAAAGTCAATAGGCATAACAACTTATACGTCGACTACTTTAAATAAAATTCTGGGACCGATAGAACTATCTTGGTACGCCAGGAGGACAGCTAATTACAACCGTGCTATGGACAATTTCCTGACTCAGCTGAAAGTAGGTATCGTGAATGTAGACGCCTCATTAAACTTCAGGCAGCTGATGACGAAATATAACCGGAATACTGAAGTGTACGAAGTTTTTACCAATGATGGCTACGTGTTATCGTTGTTCAGAATCCCTGGTAATGGAACTCCTATATTCCTGATGCATGGACTCCTTGGAAGTGCGGACGATTTTATTATAGCCGGTCCCGAAAGCGGGCTAGCTTATTTATTATCAGAAGAAAATTATGATGTTTGGTTAGGAAATGCTCGCGGGAACAAACATTCAAGAAGACACATCTTCATGGATCCTTCTGAAGCTCTATTCTGGGATTTTAGTTGGCACGAAATTGGGGTTTATGATTTACCAGCAATGATAGACTTTGTGCTCGAGAAAACTAAACGGAAGGAATTGAAGTACGTTGGACATTCTCAGGGTACGACTGTATTTTTTGCCATGACGTCGCAGAAACCTGAATATAACAGCAAAGTGTCCATGATGATCGCGTTGGCGCCTTTGGCTTTCTTAAGTCATGCTCATTCTCCGGTTGTAAGTCTCCTAGCACCTGGGACAGCAATCTTACAAACTATGTCGAGAGGAATTCGTATTCTTGAGTTTCAGCCAGACGGCATTTTAGCAAATGTGTTGAAACAGATGGTCTGCGGTTCTGGCACCTTAGCGGAGATTATTTGCAGAAACGCTATTTTCTTGCTATCTGGTTTTGACTTTGCGCAGTTAAATGTGAGCAATTTGCCAGTAATTTTTTCTCATTTGCCTGCTGGAGCATCTATTAAACAGTTAGTGCATTACGGGCAGAATTCGTTGTTCAATGAATTTCGGCAGTTTGACCTTGGGAGCGAAGGAAATTTTCAAAGATATGGTAGAAGTACACCCCCAAGTTATGATCTCAGTAATATAGTGACGCCTGTTTGGATGTTCTGCGGCCGATCGGACTGGCTATCAGCTCGGCAAGATGTGGATCTTTTGAGGAGTAAACTAAAGAGAGTAGCAGAAGTATATTATGTGCCATTTGAAACATTCAACCACGTTGACTTTATATTAGCAAAAGATGTAAAACCATTGGTGTACAAGAGATTACTTAATATTTTGCGGACGTATTAAAGATAAGATAAATTATTTATGTGCATTGTTTCCATTCAATGGTCCGCTGCTGGGCAGAGACCTTTCCTTCCTTAGAAAGGAATTGTTATATGGTTTGTGTCGAGTTTTCCTTCTCTTTGCAGAGCTATTGCCCTACGTAGTTTACTCAAGGGGTTTAGTTTGCTAAGGTATCAGCTTTTACGACACCCACGGGTGTGGGTATACGGAAAGGGGTGGTGACACTCCGTGTTCTTAATCCGTCATCAATGGATTTTAATGGCATGAAAAAAGAGGTTCTCAGTTCGGTTATTATACATACAGAACATCAAAATTAATAACAGATATACCACAGGAGTAGAACAAACAGCAGAATATCTTTTAGACTCACTCGTACCTGACGATCGACCGGAAAACGACACTGATCATCACCGACAGATCAGGCAGTGGGCCATCGAACCACCACTGTCTCCAATGTCTGATTTACCATCTTCAGACGAATTTCTCGGTATCATTAGATCCTTGCCGCTAAACAAGGCTTCGGGTGATGATAAAATATCTAACAAAATGATAAAAGAAGCTTGTAAACTTTCGGGTGACACGATTTTCACTGTCTTTAAACGTTGCATTGCTGAAGGAATATTTCCTCGTATATGGCGGTGCGGTAATATTCGTATAATACCAAAAAGTGGCGACAAGCCACTTTTTTTTTGTTTTTGTTTGAAAGCTTTTAGAACGTTTTGTAGTGCCCCGGCTTCTGCCAGGTGGAGTCAAATTTCATGATAGACAATTTGGATTTACGTTGGGTAAATCGACAACTGACGCTGTTATATCGGTTAGAAAGTTTGTCACAGAGTCAAAATTTCAATACGTGCTGGCTATTTTCTTAGATATATCTGGCGCCTTCGACAACGCATGGTGGCCCATGCTGTTGCTGAAATTAAAATCACGGGGGTGTTTTAAAAATATTTATTCCCTTATCTCTTCGTACTTTTCACAAGGTACAACTAAACAAAGACTTGGTCATCATTCTGTCTCGAAGGCGCTTACAATGGAATGTCCTCAGGGATCGGTGCTAGGTCCATACTTGTGGAATATCGGCTTCGACGATTTTCTTACGATACCAATACCATCCGGATGTACTCTGAACGCGTATGCTGATGACGGCTTATTACTGGTGGAATCTGATACTAGGGCGGGGCTTGAGAGATTAGCCAATAGATGTTTGAACTTGATATCTCAATGGGGTGAACGTAATCGCTTAACTTTTGCACCCAACAAAACCTTCCAGTTACTTTTAAAAGGTAACCTCAAATCACCGCCGAGCTTTAGATTTGACAATGTTACTGTAAAAAATAAAACCACAGTGTGTTATCTAGGATTAGTTTTAGAAAGAAACTTTTCATTTATCGAACATATTAAAATAGTTAATGAAAAGTCTAAAAAGAGTTTCTGTGCATTGGCAAGGATATCAACTGCGACATGGGGTCTATCATTTAATACATTAAAGATCATATACGGAGCTACTTATTTAGGTTCTATGTGCTATGGTGCACCTGTGTGGGCCGATAGGGCGACCGTAGGCGCTGTCCGTCGCAAACTGTTACAAGGCCAACAACTTGCACTGATATTTTTGTGCAAGGCATATAGGACGGTTAGCACTGAGGCTTTGCCGGTGTTGGCAGGTGTCCTTCCGGTCGATCTCGAGGTGCAGAGACGTGCAGCCATGTACTATTCAAGACAAAACATGGAATGCGATTTCTTGGGCGCGCGGGATCGCGGTAAAATTACAAGATTGCTTCAACAGCAGTCCGATGTCTATAATGACCTCATAGACGAATGGCAGCAACGCTGGGACGAATCATCCAAGGGGCGCCATCTTTACCAATTTTTTCCACCTGTTCGCGAACGGTTGTCGAGGACATGGCTTGAGGTGGATCACTGTGTCGCTCAATTTCTTACGGGTCATGGTAACTTTAAGAGCAAGTTGTATTCATTTAAATTAGTCGAGTCACCATTGTGTCAATGCTCAACACCTAACTCTCATTATGAACAGTCTGCTCATCATATCCTCTGGGAATGTAGTCTTTGGTATAATGAACGTAATATAATGCTGAATAGCTTGCAGGTGACATCTGGGGCGGTATACTATGGGGATCTTGTGTCAACTAGGGTGAATTTCCGTGCGTTTAGGCGATTCTGCCATACATATTATAGAAATCAAATATAGCTCATGTAGGACCCGTAATATTTTGTGGCCGTGGTGCTTCCCTGTTTAAAAGGGTGTATGCCTATTTTACTTCATTTTGTCTCCCGCTTTGCTAAGGAGGGAAGTGGATTTACTGTATTTCCAACTCCTCCAATTTTCTTCTGATTAATTTCGTTGCGGGTTCCAAGACAGTTTAATTTCTTCCTGGGACTTCCCGAGTGTCATAACTCGGTGTGTTCGTGGGTCACTGCTGTGGATCCTGGTGTACAGGAGTTACAGTGGTGGGCGTGTGGGTGGGATTAGTCCCAATAAAAAAAAAAAAAAAAAAAAAAAAAAAAGTTCGGTTATTATTTTTGATGTTAGTTACCTTGTAACACCTGTCATTTAATAATGGAGTTTAAAATAATGACAGGACTGTTGGTCTAGTGGTTTGTGATCCTGACTGCTAAGCCGGAGGTCGTGTGCTCGATTCCCACCCAGGACAAATTTGTGTGATGACCAAGATCGTTTGTTCTGTGTTTGGGTGTTATTTATCTATAATATGTATGTATTTAGATACACTAGCTGATGTTTGTATGATCTGTAAACATTTGTTTCGGAGTTTGGGTGTTTTCTATGTATAACACGTATGTATTTACAAAAAAAGTATATAAGTATTCTATCAATCAATCTAGCTTTCATAGTACAAGCTCTGCTTAGTTTGAAACTAGATGGCGTTGTGTGTTAGATGTCATAAAATATTATTATTATTAAGATGTATTATCCGATTTAGGCGCAAGAATTAATTTTTACCATTTCAAGTTTTCCAATTGGCAGTTTATTAAATAAAACTGTATATTTAGTGGATTTATGAAAAATATAACGCTCAAAAGAAACGTGTGCAGTATTTGACGCGTATTAAATAGGTTATTGACAGACGAAACACAGGTATTTAAAGTCTAGTACATACAAAACTAACAATAGGCGGCAAATCGTTTGTTGATGATATTCGTCTGTATATTTTTATTTTGATGGCGGTTAGTGATGGACCATGCAAAACTTATGCTTTTGGTGATGCCTTAAAAAAGGGCGGATCAGTAGTACTCAAAATGGGTGGGCTTCTATGTAAAGTGTAATCGCAGTAAAGAAAGCTCTCGACGTATAGAAGAACGGAAGTGACAGGCAGACTGTGGGCAGAAACAGCTTCTGCCAGCAGTCTGTCTCTATTGTATTCTACCCAGACAATTTAGCTATGCCTTACCTCTATCCTAAACCGCTGGTAGCGCTCACCAAGTTGATTAGCTTAAATACCTTTTTTACTTTTCATTTATCATTTATTTATAGCTTCCTTTTGCTTCCTTCAAAAAAATTGTATGAAACCAAAAACCATGGCATATTATGGTCGTTTAAATTTGTCAAAACGGTTATCTTTAGTGTTTGATGGCGTGATTTGCTGTAACTAATTGAAAAATCATCAAAAGTATCTTTTATTTACGGAACGTATCAAATTTAGTTGTATGACTGTTCGGTTATACCCTGTTGAACGGTATTTTCTGAATTATTTTTTTTGTTTGATAAACATCAGTAATTAAAGTCAATGTTCTAAAAACATTGAATAAAGAAACTAACATACATAAAAATGTCTATAATGTCTGTAATGCATGTTGTAACATGCTGTATTACATTTGAAGGGTACAAGAGATGAGAAAGACCAAAGAAAAGATAGATGGACTGTGTGATATAGGATATGGCTAGGAAGGGAGTAAACAGTGAAATGACGAATGATAGAGCAGAAAGGAAGAATCATACATACTGCTCCGACCCCAAATAAAATTGGGATAAGGGTAGGCAGATGATGCTGACTGTAATGCACATAATCGATTATAAAAGCAGTTGCCTGTGTCAGTGGCACGTGACTGCTAAGCCGGAGGTCGTGAGTTCAATTCCCACCCAGGACAAATGTTTGTGTGATGAGCACCGTCCTTTTTTCTCTGTCTGGGTATAATTTGTCTATAATATGTATGTATGTATTTAGACATATATAAGTATGTTTTTAATAATAATATATAATAATATATAATATATTCTACCACATACACACAACGCCATCTAGTCCCAAACTAAGCAGAGCTTGTACTATGGGTACTAGACAACTGATATAAATACATATATACTTCTTTTTGTAAATACATACATATTATACATAGAAACACCCAGACCAAATCAAACATCAAATGTTCATGCACACAAATCACAAATGTTTGACTTGAGCGGGAATCGATCCCAGACTATCAAAAGAAAGAAAAAAAGTTCTTTAAGTTTATCAGCAGACTGGTTACCATAGTACAGGCTCTACCTAGTTTGGAATCAGACTGCCGTGTGTGAGATGTGTGAGGTTATTATTATTGTATAGTTAGTATGCCACATACTATACGCAAACTGTGTACACATCCAAGGCGAATACATGTAAGTAGTTTGCCAGCCAGATAATCGGGTCATTACTGTATTGTTGAAAGAATAACTGCTAATAACGCTTTATATTTATATTAACTAAATGCGTCTGGGCTCGTGTTCGTGATTAAATCAATATAGCTATTAATACACGACTTAAAATAATTACAAAAGTAAAAAATTACTGCACGGATGGCGTAGTGGTTTAAGTGGTATCCGCACGCTGAGTGTTGTGGGTCCGATCCCCACATGGAACGACACTGTGTGACACTGTTTTTGTAAAGTCCCCCGCGACTCGGGATATATTCCTAATGCGGGAATTGTCTTTAAAAAAAAAAGAAAAATGAAAAAAAAAATAGCTGTTCGCTATTCTTGGCGCTTGTTT